CACACTAACAAATTAACATGCTAACAAGGTTTTATACTTCTTCATTAGCAAACAGCTACAAATGAGTGTGAAAACCATGTCCCCTGGATTCAACACTCTGAGCATTAAAGAACATGTGGACGTTCATGCAAGAATCATGGTATTTTAGAAAACGAAGAGGTGGAAATTCATGCTGCTCTCTGGCAGCCTTTATCTGTTGAGCTAGTCCACAATCTCAGAGGAGTGTGGAGGGAGGAGGATTCTCCTCAAATTCCTAGTGTTGTCTTTGAAATATGTAAATACGTCTATTTCTTAGAACTTTGACTCTTAAAAGTTTTTAGGGTCTTTTTCTTAAATCATGGAGTCTGTTGTTTACAACTTAGAGGCTCTACCAAGGCTGTCTGTGTATTAAATGAGCTTTCCTAGCTGATATTGGGTTGTCGGAAAAGTCATGACGTATTTTTGTATGTTTTTCGTTGCAAAAATGCGTCATGACTTTTCCGACAACCCAATAGAATACCTTTTTGTTTATACTTCAGTCTCTCTCTTGCATCCCCTTTGAGTAATTCACAGGCAGTGTAATAGGAAACTACATAATTTTAGTTACTCATTGGTCTTGAGCACAACACACTCTCTTGATGTTCACAATCGTCCTGCCAAGGAACTCAGACTAGATATTTGTAGCCTAGAATAGCAATGAACAGAATTTGGAAATCCTGAGCGCTCCTCAGCCCCTGCTGTGTGTAGAGTTCTGCCTTTCCTTGTAAAGCTGCCCCTGGGAGTTGTGACAGGAAGTGGTCAGCTGTAGACCCATCAGTCCCCCTACCCTCTTCAACATGTAAACAATGGTCACAGGAAGCCTGGGCCTTACTTGCCTCGGAAAGCCCTCAACCCTAAGTCAGCCTGAGAGACAAGTTAGAGCCAAGAAGAGCTGCTTTTGATTCTGGCAGTGACATTCCAAAGGACAGCAATTAAAATAATGGAAGTTTGAAGAGCAAACAAAGACAAGTGAAGGAATTAAAGCCCTTTCACTGAGAAAAAATTAGAGAGAGGGACTTGTCGCGAAGGGAAATGCGTTGAAGGTGTCTACATGGTAGCTGTGTAGCCATTTTTTTCTTTTTATTGAGGATGGCACGAGAAGGAATATTTTGTTTTGGTGGCTTTTAGGCTGATGGTCCTTCTAATTTTAAGAATCGTTAGTACTCCAAGGCCTCTCTACATTTGAACAAAGATTGATGAGGAAGTAAATTTAAATCTCACAGAATAATAGAATTACCTAGGAAACTTCTAGATCAGCATTGTCCACTAAAATCTGATGCAAACCACATATATATTGGGTTGTTGGAAAAATCATGACATATTTTTTCTGTTTTTTGTTGCAAAAATGCATCATGACTTTTCTGACAACCCAATAATTTGTATTTTGTAGTAGCCACATTTAGGAAAAGTAAGCCAGTAAAAATAATTTTAAGAAGATATTTTCTTTAACCCACTATTCTAAAATATTATTTCAACATGTATTAATATAAAAATTATTAATGAGGTGTTTTGTACTTTTTTGTTGCATTCTAATTCTCTGCAACCTGTTGCATATTTTACACTTACAGCACTTTGCAATTCAGACTAGTTGCATATCAAGTGCTCAATAGCCACACATGGCTACCGGCTGCTGTGTTGCATAGTACAGCTCTAGGATTAAATATTAAAAATTAAAAATAGGTGAATTGTATTAGGAAGAATAGACCAGACAGGCTGGAAATCTTAAATTATTTTGAGGGAGGTGAGAACAAGACTAGACAGCTTTTATGAGGTATATTGCCTTACGTGAGAAACTATAATTATCTTCTAAGCAATGAATTAACATAAAAATGTTATCCATTAGCAAATGCAACCTCATATTATGTGCCATTATATGACCTCGCTTTAAATGCTTCAGTGCTTCCATTGATAATTTTGAAAGATGTTTAATTTGGGACAGTAAGCTTGGCTGAATACTATGGATACCAAATATCTCAAATATTGTATTTTATCAAGTGCCTGGTTGGCAGTCTGTAGAACAGACTGGCTGGTCCAGTGGCTTAGAATAATACTGTTGACCCTTGAACAATGCAAAGGTTAGGGACACTGACCCCAGTGCAGTTGAAAATCAGCATGTAACTTTTGACTCCCCCCAAACTTAAGTTGTTCCTTGGTATTTGCAGGGGATTGGTTCCAGGACCCCTGTGGATACCAAAATCTCTCAGATGCTCAAGTCCCCTGTATAAAATGGTGCAGATCAATGCATACAGTCGGCCCTCTGCATCAGCAGACTCCCAATTGCAGATTAGAAAACAGTACTGGTATTTATTGAAAAAACCTGCATATAAGTGGACCCACCCAATTTAAATCCATGTTGTTCAAATGTCAACTGCACGTGACCTGGTATTGGAACATGTGAAGCCTTCCTTAAAACAGGGCCCATTCATGTTGCTATTTGATTCATTGATGAAGTGCTACCCTGTTGAACTGAGTTTCACATCCCACTTTGTCCTACCTTTGAAAGTATAAAAGATATTATCACCTCTAGGAGCCCAATATGGATTCCTCTAAAACACTGGTAATTTTCTGTTCCTCTTTCATCCCTCAGTCCCAATATTGGCTGGCTAACTTAGAGTCAAAGTAAGTAAAGAAATGAGTCTCTCTACTGTGTTCGTTTTTCACTGATTCTGATAATCTGATAATGAATATTTGCCCACAGGTATAGAACTATTGAATATATTGGGTTGTCGGAAAAGTCATGTCACAATTTTGCGACAAAAAACGTAGAAAAAATACATCATGACTTTTCCAACAACCCAATAGTTGTCTACACTGAAGAGAAGGTTGATTCTTGTCTGGACAGTCAGAAAACCAGAGCTTGCCCTAGAGACCAGTGTATCCAGATCTATTGGCGGGTGGGGGGTAGATGGGGGGAGAGGGTAGGTTGTTCTAGTCCCTTCCAGATGACCCAGCTTTCATATATTGTATACCCAACTTACATTTAGTCCTAACTCATAGCCTCATTGGATCCTTGGGACCTTAAAGAATCCTCATGTACTTCCCAAGTTAGTGCCCAGTTCTGAAAGTGAGATGAACTCCCCTGCTTGTGGTGGGAGGAAAACCTTTCTGTGTCTACTCCTACTTTGAACTGCCCAGGACCTCCTTAACACCAGTCCCAAATGTGGGCAAGCATCCTTTGCGGCAAGTACACTGCAGAGCCTGGCTGCTTCTTGGATTTGTGCCATACTCAAGATGGAGCATGCTTTTTAGGGCAAGTGCATTTTAACTACTACAACCAGTTCATGTTTTATAGGCCATAAAGTTGTTATAGGGCAAGCAGAAAGAATATTGTAAAAGCTTTAAAAATTTGCAGCAAATTTATACCATGTGGTAGTGGTTATGCTGATAAAGTACTCATTTCCTACACATTTTTTTTTTACCATTCCTTCTTGTTGATCCCAGTTAGTTTATTTTATATTCAATAATTTTAATATTTGCATTATAAGTTTGCACTAATATTTACCATGAATATAAACTATCTAGGAAAAGTTAGGATGTTGAAGGATGCAGACCAAATGGATTCTGCATATTCTAGAAATATTGGTGTCAGCTGTTTGATGATCTTTATGATAGAGTCAAACGAAATTCATGTTTCTTTTGAAAAATGATCATTAATCTATAATATATTCTTGTTATTGTGTTTGTCTTGTTATAACCTTTCAAACAGAAGTTTCACTCTCTTTTTCTACAAAACCCATAAACATGGCTTTTGGTGGTAAGGTCACCTGCCAAAATGAAGCAAATTTCATTAATCACTCTTTGTTGCAAGGCATTTTGTTCCTATAAACCTTGTCTCACATTATTGGAGGGGTGAGGGGTGGAAATGTTGACCCTGCCTTACAAATGAAGAAGATTGCAACTTTGTGTATCTCACCAAAATAGCTTTTGAAAGATTAAATTTCATGTAGGGCCTTTTTGGACCTAAGATTTCCATGCTATGGGTATTAAGTGACCTTTTGATTGCAGGCATTATCTTCTCCTGGTCTCTTTTAAGCACAAAGAGCCCTGTTTAGTTAAAAAAGAAAACAAAAACCATTTTTCTTATAATTGAGTCCCTCTATTTATTAATTATTTAATTATATAGAATTACACTGTAATGTTCTCTGACTTCACATGGGGAGTGTTGTGGTTAGTCAAACATACTCTGTAATAGTGTAAGTCCACATATACCACAAATGGAATGTCAGCTTTCAAGTAGAGATGCAGAAAAATGTTGTGGTAAGAGTGTAAGTTCTAATGGGGGTGTGGTTCTTAATATTTTGTTTTTTTCTTGCCCAGTATTAGAAAACTATTGTACATGCAACACTTTCTCTAATGCTGCAGACAAGTAAAATGTAAACTTGTCGGTATCCATTAAGTCGAGTAGTGGTGGCTGCAGAATGGTAGCATAAAAATGTTGTGGAATTCTGGTGGAGTACTTAAAATGAAGACCGGTGTTTTGCAAAGTTCTGTAAGAATCACATAGGGTACATATTAAGTACATAAGAATCACTTGTGGTGCTTATTGAAGATCTGGATTCCTTATGCCCCTACCGCTGAGCCTCTAATTTAGAAAATCGGGACCAATCTGCATCTATTAGTCATTCCAGGTGGTCACACTTTGAGCAATGGTTTCAGGGCTTCTGAAACCTGAATGTGTGTGCAAATTGCATTGGCATCTTTTAAGATGCAGGCTGACATTCAGTAGATCTGGGGTAGTGCCTGAGAATCTGCATTCCTAGCACGTTTCCAGGGGATGCTTTAGAAACTCGAACTTTGCAACTCAACCTACCACGGGTGCCTTGCCACTTCCTTCTATATCTAACTTGGTACCTTTTTGTTTTGGACTATATACCGTTGGGCTAGGTTTTTAACCTCCTTCAAACTTTCTGTTTGATACCATTTTAAAATACTTGCTTCCCTAGCTTATCCTTTTCCTTTTCCTTTTTTTTAAATGTATATAGATGTGCACCAGTTGCCTCTTGAAGTGCCGTCAGCTGTAACCAAAGTTCCAGATCCCAAGACCACAGCCAGGCGTTCCCGCTCCCAAGAACTGAAGACCATGGAACTCTCTGACAGCGACCGCCCGGTCAGCTTTGGCTCCACGTCATCCTCAGCCTCTTCTCGGGACAGCCATGGTTCCTTTGGCAGCAGAATAACCTTAGTGTCAAACAGCCACTTGGGCTTGTTTCACCAGGATAAGGAAGCAGGGGCCATAAAACTGGAGTTGATTCCAGCCAGGCCGTTTTCCAGCAGTGAGCTGCAGAGGGATAGCCCAGCCGGGCAACAGAGCACGGAGGAGGGCAGTGAAAGGCTACCCTGGGGCCCACGAAGAGTGGAGGCAAACGGAGCCACCAAAACCAGTGCAGAGTCAGCCACTAGCCCCAAGCTCCTCTATGTGGATAGAGTTGTTCAGGAAATTCTGGAGACTGAAAGGACTTACGTGCAAGATTTAAAAAGCATCGTAGAGGTAAGGCAAACTTTTTGTTTTTAAGTTTGTCATGCAAGATAAACATGCTTGTAAAATAAAGAGCAAAGCCAGGTGTCTGGGATGCATTGTCTCCTAAGACACAGAAATGGTGTGAACGTTCAAACAGATCAGAACTTAAGAGAAACCCTAGAGCCGTACTCGTGTTAAAAATCCTCTTAATATTAGATTAACAAATTGATTATGTATTAAGAGCAAGAATGATGATACCAATGAGTTCACCAGTATGTTGTACTAATAACTCCTACACCAAATATCTGAGTGCCTGGCAGACAGGCTGAAGTAGCACTTCAAGCCTCCTGATTTGCAGGTGTCAGGTGTATCCGGACTGAGCCCATCAGGCCATCTTCATTTTAATCACAACTGTCTACTGATATCTGGGAGCTTCCAAAACTACTAATACCTGTGTCCCACTTCCAGAGACTGTAATTTCATGGGCCTGGGGTGTGGCCTGGGCAGCCACAGGTGGAATTGTGAAAGATCCCAGGTGATTCTACTGTGCAGACAAACTTGGGAACTGCTGATCTATGCTCTTCTCTGCATTGGTTGGGATTTGGGGAAGGTAGTGAGGGGTAGAGAAAACCTGTAGGCTTTGTCTTGCCTTGGGAATTTTTTGTTTGCTTTTATAGTAAACAAGTTTGCAAAAATCATGTGTGCAGATTGAGCTGTTTATGTGCGAGACTCTGGAAATTCAATTATTAATTTGACTTTGATTTATAGGTAGGTTTTTAAGGATAAAGTAAGAATTATCAGAGCAGCTCAGATGCTAACTCCTTCTCAAGTAATGATTAAAATATTAATATTTCAAAGGCAAATGTATATATTATGAAGGTACACTCACTTTGTTGCCTAGTAATATTTCAAATTCTTTCATTTGTTAGTGCCTGCTTCCTGTTTTAGATTTTTAATAAAATAGGTTTCAGAATATAGTAGAACATTTGCTGATGAGAACATTCTCTACCAAATACATACATTATTATAGCTTTAGCAAAACAAAATTCTAAGGCATGATTGCATGTTGAGTTCCATAAATAGAACCAGACAGTGTCTACTAAAAATAGTTATGACATAACTTCTCAGTAAAAATAGAAAAATCAATTGATGCTCAACCAAAACAATATGTGATACCAAATGTCGAATAAACCAGGCCAATTCTTTTTTTTTAACTGCAACAATGATATCATTTGTACTTGAGAAGAAATACCTGTGAAACTGCCAACAATTTTACAACCTCTTAGGAAATTTAAGGTTGTCAAAGCTTTCTTTGGTCAAATTTTTTTAAATTTATTTCTTGAAAACTTTCCACCTAATCAAAACTCGCTATACTGAGAGAGAAACCTTTAGTTACTGAACTGGGGTTCCATGAACACTTGCTTTTTCTGAGGCTGGTTGGTAAACCCTGGGTGAGAACCAATAGGTAAGATATGAATGAAAGAAAACAGATCAAGATACTTGCACATCAATTGCCATGTCTGCAGGTTCCGGATTGCAATTCTTTCTTCTTTCTGAATAAATCCTTTTTTGGTGACGAGAAAAAAAATAACAAGAAAGACGATTAAGACAGAGTATTTGCTAAGGAAGTTTCAGTAGAAGTTCTGTTTCAAGCTGTCCAATATTCTTTCCTTTTCTTCATTGTCCACGCATTAACCATGTTTTACATTAGGGGCTGGTGGACATTTTCTATAAAGGGACAGACTGTAAATGTTTTAGGCATTCTGGGCCCTGAAGTCGCAGTCACAACTGCTCACCTTTGTCGCTGTAGCTCGATAGCAGCCATAGACACCATGTCAGTGAAGGGACGTGGAAGTTCCAGTAAAACTTGAGGGCCAGGTTTGACCCATGGGCCACAGTTTGTGACCGCTGTATTAGACTGTAAATGTGTGCCTACGTCTCATCAACTGTAAAATGGGGTTAATAAGTAGTACCTGCCTCATAAGGTAATTATTATGAGAATTAGATTAGATAATATATGAAAAGCTCTTACAACAGTGCCTGGCACATGGTAAGCAATTAATAAATGGAAATTCTCATCACCAGCCTCCTTTGAATTTGCTGGTTGAGAGTAACTAGAGTGTGTCTTAACTAAAGTCTTTCATAAAAATAATCAGATTAGTCAATTCACTACAGCAGAAATGTAGGGAAAAAAATTTTTAAATGGGTGATTTCAACATTATGATGTTGAATGCAATTGGATTATTTCTAATGAATCCACTGAAAATCGGAGGTGCCACACAACTAGAGAGAGAAAGGTGAAGAAGGGGGTTGAGAGGCAGTGTAATTGGGGAAGAAATGTCCCAAATGTACAGGGAGGCACTCACCTTGGATGAAGTAGATGATGTTTTTATGTTCCAGAAGTCACCAAATACTTTGAGTCATCCACCATCTCCACCTAGAAAAAGTCAGAATCTCTTCAGTCAGGGATTAGTCACTGCTGCCTCTTCACATACTTTTGCTATGTGACCACCTTTGTTTCTCAAGATCGAAATTTTAACAGAATGGTTAGACCCATTTTATCTAGTTCTTTCCTTTATGAAGAGTAACCAACCATAGCAGGTCCTGGAATAACGTCGTTTCTTTCCATGTTGTCTCATTATAACGTTGATGAGATGCCATAGGAACTTAATTCTCATTGATATCAATTAGCCTTGGTAACATTGGTTGGGTTATGTGTCATTACCATTTCCCTTGTAGCTGCAGAACCGATGATGACATTGAGGACTTACTGTATTTTTCCACTTGTAGCAACTCTACCCAAAAAAAGACACTTATAATGGGTATTCTTTGAAAATACAAAGTGCCAATTCCTTTAAAATCTGTTTTCCTTGATCCATGTCTAATCAATTCTGTAGCTGACTCCTCTAATATCCTCGATGTCTCAAATGCAGAAATTTTTCTTTTTACTTAAAATGTATTGGGGTGACAATGGTCAACAAAACTGCATAGGTTTCAAGTGTACAGTTCTATAACACATCATCTATATATTGCATTATATGTTCTCCACCCAGAGTCAGTTCTTCTTCCATATATTTGATCCCCTTTACCCTCTTCTACCATCCCCCTGCCCACTTACCCTCTGGTAACCACTAAACTGTTGTCTGTATCTATGAGTTTTTGTTTCTTTGTCTTGTTCCTTTGTTGCCTTCAGTTTTATATCCCACATATGAGTGAAGTCATATGGTTCTCAACTTTTTCTGTCTGACTTATTTCACTTAGCATAATAATCTCAAGGTCCATCCATGTTGTCGCAAATGGCAGTATTTCATCTTTTTTGATGGCCGAGTAGTATTCCATGTGTATATATGGGCTGCTCGTTAACACCCTACTGTGAGAAGCTCTCTCCATACCTGCAAGGCAGAGCTTCTTGTTACTTGGATCTTTCTCAGCAAATATTATTTCTGGAAAAAGAAACAGTCTAATCATAACAGTCTATAGCAATAACTTCTAAGTCACTTTTCATTTATGCAGTAGCACAGTTTTGAACTTCCTGCATTCTGCTTTATTGAATCCTATCTTACTAATATCCTTCAATAGTCATTCTCAGTTTAACTAATTTCACCCATAAGTAGCACATATCTGTATACCGTATCCGTACATAATCCTCACAGCTCAGGTTTAGATTTGGTTTTTAGGATTCATAAACAGGAACATCTTTGTGAAAGATCATACACTGATTTAAGAGACATTAACACAATGTGATTTGACATATTCAACATCATCAGAGTAGATGATTTCTGAGAAGAGATCCTTCCAGCATTATGTAGGCAATAGGATTCCCAGATGTTGGTTACATATGCAAAAAAGGTTGTATGCCTTTCTTTCCCATATGTAGAGACCCTGTATTAAAATAATCACAAATATATAGGTATTTTTTCCTTTCCCATTCCATTTAGGGGTTCAGAAATGAATTCCTAATACTTTCTGAAAAGTTAGCTAAATGTTATTGTTCTTATTCCTATTACTCGTCATTCCTTGCATTACATCCCAAGACCCTTCTCTCTGGGCCCGCTACACACTCCCCCATCATGGCTAATTCATCCTCTGCTCCTTTGCTCAGCATCCAAGTCATTGGCTTTTGTACACTTGACATTTGAGAGAGAGAGAGAGAGAGGTGAGGGCTTGATGTCACTCCTACTCAAAAGAACAATGGTGCTGTTATTTCCATTGCTATACATGGCTCCTAGTAACACTCACAGATAAAATGAGATCATAAATAGAAATGAAATTTTAAAAGTTAAAAGTAAAATAGCCAATAGTATAATTTCTGGAGAGAGAAACATCCATAGTGGGAAAGTAGAAAATAAGGGTCTCTTTCATGTCTACTGGGACCTTAGAGTGACTGAGCAGGGACTTTCGTGGGTAGAGTGGGTTTCTTTAATCTTTCTAAATAATCTATAAAAGAGATTTTGAGAGGCTCTCGAGATTTGGCCCGGATTTAGTTCATGGCCTGTTTTAACCTCTTAGGAAAAATTTTTAAATAGTTCATAATGTTATATAATGCTGTGTAATGAGAAGTTACAGCCCTACTACAAAATGGCATCCTGTGAACTATAAGAGATGCTAAATGAAATCATCTTTAGGGATGTTGAGGACATGTGTATTATGAAAAAAGTGAGTAAAATATTATGGAACATATGTTTATTTTTTTTGTATCATATTCTAGAGAACTAAAATCCTTTTCAAGTACCTTTATCCATACAGTATGCTAAAAAGCTAAGAAGTGAGTATTATAGCCTTAATGTTTAAAATTTAAAAAGCCAAAGCCTTAAGCACGTTTTTGTTGAAAGCATCCCACCATGTTCAAAAGCTGTAGCTAAATAAGGATTAGAATGGCAATCTCTGACCCGCCCAACCCCAGCTCTTGTGTTTATTAATCTGCATGGTCTCTGCTTACCGTGTGATAGTAGACAGTAGGTGGAAGAGAGAAGGATGCTTTTCACCCACTCAGTGACGTGAAACACATTGAAAACTGTTCTGCCCATTGC